CCTTGTGAAATTCCATGTTCCATGTTATGGGTTGCCCTCACACAGAGCACTGCAGGTGTGGCGTCCTGTGTGTGTGACTCTGACTTCGTGTGCTGCCATGTGTTGCTGTGTGCGTGCTCTTTCATGTGCTGCTTTGTTCTTCCCCTTGCATCAGAAATCGCCATAACTTTTGAAGCATCAAACAAAACTCCAACCTTCCACGCACCCACCCTTCCACGCCTTCCCCACTTGCAGAGGCCGTGCTTCTATCTGTGACGGCAAACCATGCATGTGTGAAGGACGCTGCTTTTTATAACTGACTCAAAAGCCCCTTACCTTCGTGCCCCCCTCTCTCACACCTCCCCCTGCAGAGCCGTGCTCTATCTGTGACGGCAACCATGCATGTGTGAAAGGACTTGTGCGGGTGCAGTGACCTGTGTGTGCAAATACGAGGTGGTGGGCGACAAGTGTGTATGTACGTGATACTCACCTCTCACATCTCACCACTTCTCACCTCTCACCACTTCCCACCTCTCTCCACTTCTCACTCTCAACCACTTCTTACCTCTCACCACTTCTCACCTCGTCACCACTTCTCACCTCTCTCCACTTATCACCTCTCACCGCTTCTCACCTCTCACCGCTTCTCACCTCTCTCCACTTATCACCTCTCACCGCTTCTCACCTCTCACCGCTTCTCACCTCTCACCCACTTCTCCCTCTCACCACTTCTCACCTCCTCTCCACTTCTCACCTCTCACCGCTTCTCACCTCTCACCACTTCTCACCTCTTACCACTTATCACCTCTCACCGCTTCTCACCTCTCACCACTTCTCACCTCTCACCACTTCTCACCTCTCTCCACTTATCACCTCTCACCGCTCTCACCTCTCACCGCTTCTCAACCTCTCACCGACTTCTTCACTCTCACCACTGCATCACCTCTCCATCCACTTCTCACCTCTCCTCCACTTCTCACCTCTCACCGCTTCTCACCTCTCACCACTTATCACCTCTCACCACTTCTCACCTCTCACCACTTCTCACCTCTCACCACTCTCACCTTTACCTCTCACCCTTCTCACCTCTCACCGCTTCTCACCTCTCACACCACTCTTCACCTCTCTCCACTTCTCACCTCTCACCCACTCCCACCTCTCACCACCACTTCTCACCTCTCGGCACGTGATTTTCACCTCTCTGGCCCTGTCTGCTGTATTATTGTCAGCTCACACCCCCCCCCCCCCCCCTTCCCCACCGGTCCTCTTGCCCTCCTCATGCCCTGCAGGGCCCACTCGACAGTCTTCTCTCGAATGACTGCTCTGGCCTACCGCAAACACAGCACCACATCGTCAGCTCACCCCACATGATCCCCCCTCTCTCCCCCGCTCCTCCTGCCCTCCCCACAGGCACCACCACGTGTGGGCATGCCCTGCAGGTGCCACTTGATAGTCTGCTCTCTCCGAGTGTGCTGCACACTACCAGTGCTGCACTCTAACGCCCCCTTTCCCTCCCTGTTTCCTGCTCCTCCTCCCCTCCCACAGGACCTGCCACGTGTGGGGCATGCTCTGTAGGGGCCACTTGAAAGTCTGCTATTGCACACACAACACCACATTTTCAGCTCCCAACTCACCCTCCTCCTGCTCCTCCTGCCCTCCCCACAGGACCTGCTTCGTGTGGGGCCTGCCCTGCAGGAGCTGTGTGCACGCCTCTCCCATCGACCTGGCCTTCTTACTGCATGTGCGCTCCTGGTTACGGCATGACCAGCACTGGATGCGTGCAAGGTGCGTATGTGTGAGCATACAAGAGCATGTGATGTATGCATGTGTGAGTGCAGGAGTGTGCGTTGTGTCGATGTGCCCTCCTGGTTATGGCATGACCAGCACCGGATGCATGCAAGCAACGTATGTGTGTCAGTGTAAGCCAACTGATTTGTAAGTGCATGGTATGGATGTGTGAGTGCATGGTATGGAGTGTAAGTGCATGGTATGGATGTGTAAGTGCAAGGTGCATGTGTGTGGGGTGCACGGTATGTTATGTGTGGGTGCACGGTATGTATGTGTTGGGTGCACGGTATGTATGTGTGAGTGCACAGTATGTATGTGTGAGTGCAACGCAAGTGCTTGTGTGTTGTGTGTGTGTAGAGGAGTGAGTGGCAGTATGTGTGTGTGGTGTGTTGATACTCCCCCCTGACTTGATATCTGCATGCACAAGAGCATATGTGCTGTGTGAATAACCTCGAGAGCAGAATGACCCTAAACTGGGTGTAAGAGCATATGTTGTTTTGTATTAGCTTCCTTCTCCCTCTGTTCCATAATCCTTTTCAGGGGCCAACCCCCACCGTCTCCTCCACCAGCTTCACTTCTATGATCACCCCCAACTTCACCATAACTCGCTTCATATCCACTATGCGGGTCCACTGGGATGCTGCACCGACATCACTCTTCCCCCGCGCCTCTGATGTCCTGTCCTACACCCGCATAGAGGCCGGCCCCGGGTGGGATGGGAAATTGCACAAATGTGTGTGCGTACTATGGGTATGGGTGTGCCGGAGCGTGCAATTCATTGTTCAGCTTGGCGGGTGCACCTCAGATCGGCGTGTGGACCATCCCGTGAGTCGCGATCTCTATTTCTTTCAGCATACATGCACACACCCCCACAAACACGCACACACACACACACACGCACATGCACACACACACACCTGTTTCCCCCCCACGCACACATGAATGTGTGTGCGTACGATGGGTATGGGTGTGCTGCGCACACACACCACACTCGCATACATGCATGCGTGCACACAACACACACATACACACACATGCACGTACACAGACACACACACACACACACACACATGCCACGTACACAAACACACACACACACACATACGCAAATGCACCACATCTATGCACACACACACACAAACACACACGCACACACACACACAACGCGCGCGCACGCACGCCGCGCACACACACACACACACACACACACACGTGCACACATTAAATCTCCTTGCCTCAACAAAATTTCCATCCCAGTTCTCCCATTCTTGCTCGCACCCAATCTTAAGCAATATGTGTCCTCCGTGTGTGTTTTCTCCACTATTACAGCGAATACCTGGGATGTTTTTCCTCTCTTTCCGCTGCATTCATTAGAAGCACCGGCTTGCTGTCTGGTAGCATAAGCTGGAAGATGATTGTGAATAGTAATGGGAAGTTTAGATCGGATGAGTGCTTGTCAGGCTTTGCCATGCTAGATCGGCACTCTTATTCTCTTCTTGCAATTACCATAGTGGCTTGTCCAAACATGCGTGATTTGATTACCGTACGGTATGTACATATTTCTAGTCAATTGTTGGAACACCTTAGGGTTCAATTCCAGTTTTCGCGAGTCGCATCTGCACATTTGCCCAACCTCGCGTCACATATTGTAGATGTACCGCGACACTAGCGCGACTGACTGAGAGGTACAGTTGTATGCGTTTTATTGGCTGACACAATTTGATACAAGTCATTTTTGGCGCCGGGCAGAGATACAAAACCTAAAAGGGGAGTGGTTTCAGCGGGCAGTCATGCGCGAGGGTGAGGTGCATGAAAGTGAGTTAGGGCATGTTCCTACGGCCCCTTATCAGGCCAACCTCTTATCAAAGCTCACGTCAAAACACACTGAAAAATTCCCTAAACCCACAAACCCTCGCTACTTTTACCAGGCAAGGCTGACAAGAGGTTTGCCTGATAAGAGCGTAGGAACATGATGCCTTATTATAGTTTTTAAACACACATAGTGTTTTTCAAAATTGTGTATTGTTGAAAGCGAAGCTGCTTGTACTGCACAATTGGCATCGTCCAAGCGCGCTAAACGCCTTCTCCAACTACAAAAACTGTGGGTTGGAGTTCATTTCCCTCCACCCACGTTTCTCGATTTTCAAACGGCTCAGTCAACATTCCCACCACCCACCCCAGCGTAAACCGCTTTGCTAATGCCACTTGGATAGGGTACATCGTAGCTAGTGTTATTAGTATGCACTATTTGTGTTCAATGTCGATGCAAATGTCGTAATAAGCCATGTGTAATAAGAACGATGCCAATTGATAAGAATAAGAAAGAAAGCATTTTCAATATGCACCACTTGTTCGGCTGCCCTAACAGGGCAGGTTCTTTTCCCGCTAGAAACTGGCACTTCAAGGGGCATCCAGATGCATGCGGTCGGGCTGGCCAAGAGCTTGACATTTCGGCTTGCGTGCGATTTCTTGGTGTCAAACTCATATGTTATAGTCCGTGTAGGCTGTAGTGGGGTAGACAATATGGGGTACAACACTTTTAGGTTTTCCCTACTTGTACCCACCTGTTCGCTAGTTCATTCATTTCCTCATTTCTTCACATGGTATAGGAGCAGCACCCCAAGGCCTCACACGCTCAGAATCAGCACCCCTAGGCTCCACACCCTCAGACTCAGCAACTCCAGGCTCAGCACCCCCAGGCTTCGTACGCGCAGGCTCAGCACCCCCAAACGCAGCACCCCTAGCAGCACCACCCCCAGCAGCACCAGAGTCGACAGCGACCTCCGACAGGCTCAGCCAAGGGGAGTGGGTCTACTTGAGACACACCTGAGGGAGCAGGACCCTGAGGGGGGAGGGGGTCTACCGGAGGGGGACCTGATGTGAGGAAGAGCGGCGGGGGAGGGAGAGGGGCAGTGCGGTAGGGGAAGAGATGGTAAAAGGGAACCGACTCGTCAAACGTGACATCCTAAGAAGGCAAGACACGGCGTGAGGTGGGGTGGTAAAACTACCAGCCAGGCGCGACAGGGGGAAAGCGAAGGAAGACACAGGGAATGGTGCAGGAGGAGAGCTTGTACGAGATCCCCAAACCCGGAACACCGACGCATCGCCAACCTCTCCGTCCAACGCAGTGTCGGCGAGGCCTCCGGCAAGGAGATACGGGGCCAGAGGTTGAGCTGATGCGCAGCATATTGGACCGGCAAAACGGCCACAGAAAATGGTAGCAGCCGCATGGATCATGGAGGTACGAACGACCTCCATGACTAAGCCAATGCGGCGCTCAGCAACCCCATTCTGCTGCGGAGAGGCCAGATGCGTGAATGACTGGCGAATGCCCTCCCCACGACAAAAGTCCCGCAAGAGGTCGGAAGCGAACTCACCACCTCTGTCAGAGTGCAGACGCAGGACAGGAAGGTCCGTGTGGGGCCGCTCGCGGAGCTGGAGACGGACAGCGCGGATCCAAGGGATCAAAACATCAAGGAAGACAGTGGTGTAAACGCGAGTAGTCGTCAACAACCTGTAGAAAGTTTCGCTCGCGGTCCTGTCCACGGATGCGGACTGGGCCCCACACTTCCATGTGGAGAGTCTGCAGGGGAGCAGTCGTTGGGGGAAACGAGGAGGAGTGAGGAGGCGGCGTGCTGCCGACCCTCGACACAGGGAAGGCAGGGAGGGGCAGGGCGGGAGGGCGGGAGGGGAGGCAGAGAAATGGGAAGACCAAAGACAAAGAGACGGGAGTGCATGCCATACAGGCATGGCAGGGAGGGGTGACCAAGGCAGTGGTGCCAAAGGAGAGTCTGGTGCGACAGGGCGCGACACGAGCAGGGGGGGCACAAGCTGACTTGACGCGGACGCAGGTGCAGCTACCTGAGGATGCTCAGTAGTCAGTGTGTACAGTCTTGACCCAGGCCGACGGGTGAACGTGGCCAGGTGACGGCCCGTCCGTATACACGTGCAGATCGACACACGCTGACCCCCTGGAGTGTGGTAGTGACCATCGCATCCTGGAGGGCAGCGGTACTCACCAAGTTCGTAGAGAACGAGGGGAGGTGAAGACCTGAAAGTGAGTCGGACGGAAACGCCGAACACGGAAGAATAGTGGAGAAAACGGGCAAGAACTGGACCCCCTGAGGGGTCAGGCAGTCTGATTGCAACAGGTGCAGGGAGTGGTGTGACTGTGGTGATGTCGCAAAAGAAATAGCGGGAATCACCTGAGTCAACCGTGAAGGTGTGCAAGGTCTCAGCAGGCGCAGTACCAGGGAGAGCAGACTTAGTAGCACCTAGAGCAGCAGCCTCTATACCTGGGTCGGGCGGCACACACATGTAACAGTCACCCTCAGCACTAATGGTCAATGCATACAGGGCAGCAGGGATAGCATCATAATCAAGACTCCGACTAAGCAGCTCTAGCCACCAGGGGGAGCTCAATCACATCAGGAAACTCTATGCGACAGGCATCGTCAAGTCGGGAGAAGCAGCGGTGCTGTGTGTGAAACTTCCCGCATGTCTGACCAGCGCGGCAACCTGTGCAAATGACAAATGGGCAGCGAACACTACCCCCAGACGCCCCACGCTGAGCAAACCACTCACAAAGCTGCTAGGGCGTAGGGGTCTCGCTCGGACGCTGCTGCTGCTCCCTCTGGCCACCGCCAGAACCTCCCCTCTGAACACCTCCACCCCGACCGCCACCACTGCCGCCGCCACCACATCCCACTGCCCGCCACCACCACTCCCACTGCCGCCACCACCGCCGCCACCAACACCTCCACTCCCACCATCACTCCCTCCGCCAC